ATATATAGTACCTAGCTAAATCCTACGTGATAACTGCATACTGTGCATGGATTTTAATTGTGTAATCGTCTTCGAATATGACTGTGTTAATAGTGTGTTTGCCTATGTTGTTTCATGTGCACAATAAAGAGTGTCACAAATCATTGTTTTAATGCTCTATCTACTATGTAATAAGGACGAAATTCGGGTACTTCCCCCGAGAGCCTTACCGAATAAAAATTTGAATTTGAATTTGAAAAACTAGTCTTTGTCTATACATTTGTTGTATTGACACTAAAAACCAATGACCTGAATAGAAGACGGTATTATGCATGTTTTTTTATTTTCTCTTTATTTTGCGTAATCTATTGACAATACGTAAAAGCACCTACCGCAATCCTTTTCGTCCGTAGAATCCAGACAACCAGGAAGCCCGTTACAGGACAAATCAGAGACACACTTCTTTGTAGCTTCGCATTTTCTATCGTCATGATGGCAACCTACTGCTTCTGAAAAAGCAAAGAAACCAAAGATTTCAATCCTCTTGGACGTAGACATAGAAACACGATTCTATAGTAAAACTTACTCCGTTATTACACTACGTTTCACACATTCATAGTGTATATACAGCGTCAACCCCTGTAAAATAAGTAAAATATTGACTTAAGAACATACACATACAAACCTAGTCTAAATCGGGCCACCCATACGATACTTCTAAAGCTATATTAAAATCTGATAACTGCTTGTGGCTATTCGTTTAGTCAGTATAGCAGACGGAAAGGGACCTTTAATCGTGAAAGCCATACGGACAAAAGAAAAACTGACCTTATTCAATTACATGTACCTAATCACGGCTAATTCAATCACATGTACCTAAAGTTAAAACTTTAAACTTATTTTGTGTTTCTCTGTTAATCTCACCAGATTTCCATTGTGCTAAACTGTCAACACTATATCATCACTATCACTGACTGTCTCTGAGGGGGGTCCCAAACCTCCCGGATCACGAAAAATAGCTGGATATTTTTAGTTATATGGCTGAAGGGTTTCAGTTATAAGTTCCACCAAGGATATTATAAAGACTTCTGTATAATCTCCTTGGTTACACGTAACTTACAGATACAACATAAGAACTGATTTCACCAACTCTGCCTCTTTATCTCATGCAATGCCTCATCTTAAGTTCTTAGGTAAACAGAGAGAGAAAACGTACCGCAGTCTTGCTCGTCCTCCCAGTTGCCACAGAAGTCGCGGTCATCACACAGGTTGAATGTCGCTGCGCATTTTCCTGAGTTGCACTTATAATTGTACTCGTCAGACGTCGTTAGTCCCTCTTCCTTCCTTTTTTCCTTATACTCTTCCAAAGCAGCCCAATACCCGTCACAGGTTCCTGCAATTAAGACCAAATAGATGCCGCGTTTGTTTGGTTGTTATTTAAAGACCAGCTATTGAGGGCACATCACGGTGAATAGTTTGTTGCCGGATTAAACACTTAAACAATTCTTATAAGGCCACACTGACTTAATTTTATGGATGACATCCGCGCGCGCATTGATTTTCGCCTGTCGCCCTCAACAAAAAAAAGATCACGTCCACCGAGGCTCTGGCCTGGCTGTAGGCCTGGGTACTCCATGGTAGTCAGCGACAAAACGGAGCCGAGTACCCTGGCTATCGAATTCGAAGCTCCGCTACTCAAGAACTCAGTACATAAGTACAGTACCGATTCATAAATGCCGCAAAAAGCCAGCATGCCGTATACGTTGCTAAGTACTGCCGCAAATTCAAAATACCAGCTTTGTATTCTTGTGATTTAGTAGCATTTTTATTTTTGGCCGGATTTTTTTTATTCGCCCGCGCGCACTAGTTTGGGGGTCTTCAGAGGATGTCATCCATAAAATTAAATCGGTGTGTCCTAAATGCAATATACTAAAGAGCGAAAATTAAAGTCAGATTAAACTACATGTGCATCTATAGGAATCAATTGTTATACATAGACAAACGGTGTAAAATATGGTAAAAAGTCTCTCCCATTTTATGGCCATTGAAATAAAACTTTATTGTAGAGCAGCATCGTTTTACAGAAGCTTTTGCAACAGATGTGTACAACGCGTGTGTTCAAAAGGTACAGAAAAATACTAAAAAAATAGCTTACCACAATTCTGTTCATCAGTAGGACCGTAAAACTCCATTGTTGCATTGTCCATGTAATTACAGTCAGGATGTTCATCACATACACGGTGTAGAGATATGCACTGATGCCATGGCGGGCCACAGTCGAAGCCACCAAAAGTACGGCAATACTCTTCTATGTGGTTAGATTTATACGAGAGCAATGTCACTATACTTGGACATAAATCAATATATTCTTTTATAGTTCAGAGACATCGCTAAGATATATGATTCTCTATTACCGAGATACGTATGAAACAATTTAAAATTCTGCTTTAGTCCGATGGATGCATAGTAAAAGCTTGTTGTTGCCCCCATGTTTGTTTTAAAAGTAGAGATCGACCTTCCATCTGTGTTATTTTTAGCCTGTTATTTTTAAGGGTTGGAATATATGCTGGGTGAGAGTCTGCAGCCTGCACCCAGTAACATTCAATCTCCCTGCATATTGTGTTTAGTACGTCTTTCAACAAGGACTTAATTGGGCTTGTAAGTTGACAACATATTTGGCCAAATGATAGGAAATTGATCATGTGCATGAAATGATGTAGGTAGGGGAAATGGAACCATTACCGCAGTGCTGTTCGTCATCATGGCAGTCATTCCCTGCCAGAGAGTGACACTGCTTCCGACCATCGCAGATGTCACCCGGCTTGTAGCATCCCGTGATCTGGTCACATTTACACGTCCATCCGGGTTGTTCGCATTTGTCGTCTATGTCCATGCAAAAATACGAGGAAAATCCCAAAAACCTCGTTTGGTTATTTTATTGACTATATCATATTTTGTTAACAACACATTGATTGGAGTTTTGAGCAAAATGTTTTTCTAGTGAGAAGAAGCAGATGTTTAAAGACGGCCCGTTTTTATAAAATTCTAAAATGTGCAAAAACTTTTTTTAAATGATTGTAGTAAGCAATAGCTTCTTAAAAGGCGGATAGAATTTGTTGATTTCTAGTACAGTTATGGCTTAGACCCAAAGACTATACCATTGTAAATTGTAAAAGATCTTTTCTCCTGTCATGTGGTCAAATGGATTCGCTATTTCTCATCAAAATGACATGAAAATTGGGAAGAGCGTAGACTGGGCAAAAATTTCATTTTTGACTTTGGTCACCCGCCCTGTGCTTACTGACATCTGCTCAATCACTTTCACGTCAATGTCTAACTTAAACAGGAGGATGGAAAAATGCGCAATGTAACCGTATTACAGGGCACGGCTGTCAAATCTGACCTTAACACATTGGCAATATAATTCTTAATTCTCTAAACTTACCACAAGCCTAGAAGTAAGTCATGACCAATATACTGACCACAGTTATCTTCATCTTCTCCGTTGTCACATTGAATCATAGTATCACAGTAGCTGTCGTCGCCTTTGGGCAAACAGGTATTTTCGAAGTGTGGACATCTTTTGCAAATCTCTGGATGTATCATTCCTGTATAAAAGAACGATGTCATGTTAATTATCACCAAAGACGTTATAAACTGATTTTGTAACCAGCCATTACTTAGAACGAGGCTTTCGAACTGGTGGAAACCCTGTCTTTGTTATAAAATCACATGGGCAGATGTCAGCCAGGTTTTGTGGACATTTAGGTGATGTTTGTGGCTCTGTATTAATCATTCTGCACAAGATAAGTCTAATATAAAGGTAAAACAAAAATGTAACATAAAAACAGCAGCAGGTATCTTTGCTATCATATTTATCGAAAGAGATGGCTTTAGTTTCAGGGAGATCTTTTCCCTCAACATGTGCTATGAATTTTAAAGGCCCATTATGTAAATCTTTACGCAAAAATAAATTCTTATTATACCAAATTTTGTTGTTATCAACAGTTACTATCACTTTTCCACATTTGTGTCGCTATTTCACATTTTTGGCGTATATTTTGTGCAATCAAACAGTCCTTGTTCAGTTCCCGGTACCACCGGTTGTCTCAGGACAACGAAAACAACAACAACAACAACAACAGACGGTGGTTGGCCCCCTAGGGCGGCTAATTGGTCAGGCATGCCTTAGTAGATAGACAGAAGATTAGCTTCTTTTCAAACACCCATATCTGTCACGGGGTGGGGTACAATTATGAACTTAGTGTATTTTGTTGGTCATCAATAAACTGTGACCATTATCCGTTCAAAAGAGATGAAAAAATCCGGTAAACGGTTAGGTCTTGCAGCAACTTGTAAGCAACATACCACTAGCAGTGGCCAACCAAATGTGCGGTGTGGCCAGAGGTTTGAATAGAACATCATTCAGATTTCTATCATGCTTGTATGGAGCAAGGATGTTGCATTTTCTATTGCTGAATATTGTTCTGGAATACGGTTAAGTCAACTTACTATGTAAAGAAAAGACTGGAAAATATACTTTTTGTATTGTCAAAAAGTTACATAAAGTGCCTTTAAGACATTCCAAATATTGATTGCATAATTGTTTTTTTTAAAAATTAAATTAATGACTGGTTTATAACTCTTTCATACGTAAACTGTGATGCATTTTAGTCACTCTTTAGTTGAACGTACCTTGGGCACAGCTGATTTCATCTTGGTAATACCAGTCATCATATCCATCACAAACTTTGTCAAATGGAATACATGATTCATGAAGTAGGTACAGCATGTCAGTTCCCTCCTTGAATATTTCTCTGTCCCATTTTGAGAAGCCAGCCATTTCATGCAGTCCACAGTAATCTAATAAGAAAATACAACCATTAACCCTTGGGACTAAATGATACCTCATACAAATACAACTTTCAGGAGAATATGTATAATAACATGAAAGAGCGTGAGCTAGCTACACCTGTGTTAAGGTGTGCTTAAATACATGGAAAATGTTTATCTACCGCAGCCGATCTCATCCGAGAAGTCCCTGCACTCTACTGCTCGGTTACATCTGCCCGACCCCTTGATACACCTCGGGAACGGCGGGATGGAGTTTTTACACGGCCAGTACCCAATAGATCTGCATAATTCATCTGTAGTTTGAAAAACAAAGTGATTGAATTATAATCGCAGATTGAAATTTGACTGAAGACTAGATATCTAAACAAATGGAGAAAAAAGTCTTACCACAGTTCTCTTCGTCCGACCCATCAGCGCAGTCAGAAATGCCGTTACACAGAAATTCTCCTTTCACACAGCCCGGGGAGTCACGGCACTTCCAGTAGGCGGCATCACCAAATGTTCCATGAAGGGAGCAGAAGTCGTCTTCAGGTAAAGACAATGGGACTTTAAAGCTTATATTTATTAGTAGCTGAGGATAATTAACGACTAAGGTAACATAAAGTTATGTTGACCAAAAGTATGCGGAAACACAGACGCACAGACACACACAGACTGACCAAAAACAATACCAACATTTTCATATAGGTAACTAAGGACTCTACCAGGAATACTACAGTGGGGGAAACGGAAAGGTCTTTGAAGGTAAGGTTCCTGAAGATCTCGCTAAATTCAGGCAATTCAGTGTCACAACACATTTATCCAGAGTTCCCTGGACAAGCTGTTTCATTGGATACCGAACAAGATTACTTCCTGATAGTGGTGAAATAGGCTATCAGGTGCCGTTACCCTTTAATCAACTGCGACGGGGGCTGACATCGTCTACCTGAGACCTTTTGACCGAGAGTTCTTGACGTCACACTTCAGAAACGCCACGTGACAAGCCTCACTGAGTCAGTTTACTGAGGAATACAAAGAGTGACTGGTCGAGAGCTCTAGGTGAGAAAGGTTTTTCTTTTATGTTGGAACAAACGCTTTACCTTAACAGAAACGTTTATTTTTACGTTAGAGGCTTACAACAGTTTATCTCGTCCGACCCATCTGCACAGTCTTTCTGACCATCGCAAACTTTTGTGATCCTCACACAGCCTGACAGATCACGACACTGGATTTCGTCTCGTTGCAGTAGGTAGTTACGTTTCCAGTGGTGCACGCAGCTGTCTATAAATTGGATTACATGACTACATTATGAAATCATGTCATTAACGTAACTTAAATTAATGTTTTAAACTTTAGAATAGCGAAAAATATATCAAGTCTACGCTTCGCCTGTCGGAAAAATGTGCGTCAGAGGCAAAAGATATCACTGGCTCATGCACTTAAACTTATGAAATATATGATATTACAAAAGAATCTATGTCCATGTTAAGGTTCCATCTAATTTTACTACTTGCAAACACGTGCATATGAGGCAAAACAGAAATAAGATATTTTGATAATGGAAATATTAGAATTTAGTTCTTATTTTCAAAGCATTTCAAATGTTTATGGAAAAGTATCAAGCTTGTAACAAACATAATCAGAATACAGAAAAACAAGAAATTCAAGTTTATTTGATAATTGTCATGTCGTGTGGCTGTATCTGTCGACTGTAAAGAGGTTCACTGTTACGAATTGTTGGGGTTAAATTCAATTTCATCTCTGCTTGCCTTAGCCATGATTGTCAACCTCCGTATTGAAAAGAGAGAAATCAAAACCCTACCGGGACAGTCCCGCTCATCCTCAGTAATTTCCCCACAGTTCCGCTCTCCGTCGCACACACGAGTCGGACTGTAGCAGCCCACTTCTCCGGCACACACTCGCCGATGTTTCTCCGGACAGTTGGCAAACCCTGCAATCAAAACAGAGGGGTGCGTGTTTTATATGAATTATTTCAACGTGTCTTTTTATGTATGCTTCTACCTATCTATCTACCTATCAATCTATCTATCTACTAATATCTTTTCATCTAAAAAAAGTAAGTATATATATATGCATATACTGTTGCTTTTGCCTTTTTGAAAATTTTTTGGAATCTGACACTACTTTGCGTTAATGAGTTATTACTTTTTAGCTTCCTTCGTGGTATAATAAAATTACCGTTATGTTCAAAATAAACGTCCGATTTTGGATATGATCGTGTGCCTTTTTTTTCAAAATGAGACGAATAATGCTTATCTAGCAACCTTGACATATGGCCTGATATTTAGTCACACCAAATGGGATGCTTGTATAATGGGTTGTATATATTTTATATAATATAGTAGTTGAGACCCAGGACTCAAATTTGCACTTACAACAGTTCCGCTCGTCAGTGTCGTCATCATCCCCACAGTCCACGATGCCGTCACACACGCGGCATTCTTTGATGCATTTCTCGCTGTATGGACAAATGACTTCGTCCTCTGCACAGAGTCGCTTTTCTGACGACGAAAAAAGATTAATTTAGTCATATCTAAAATGAGCGCAAACATTTATCAAAGGCATAGATATTTCATATAATATATATATTTACAGGCAGGAAAAATGTTATGAGGCAAGAACGAACTATGTAATAATTATTTGAGCAGCATTTTGTTGTGAACCATATGTGTTAATATCACATGTAGTTATTTTGATTTTGACCTTCTTGAATGGCGTAGCACATAGAATGTCCTTCAAGCCGACTTGACAGACTTTCCCGTCGACAGATGTCGGTAGAACTTTACTAATGCACGCTGCGAGGAGTCCACACCCCAAACAGTTCTGTCCCCCACACCGATCTGCTGCAGATGTACTCCGGGTACATGCAGCCATGCCACGCCAGGGGCGGTTTCGTTTAGAAATGTGCCTGCTCTGTGGTACACCTCGCCTTCAAAGTCGACCGCCCAAACGCCCGACCGTCCCACAGACACTGACGAAAAGCAACCTTCAATTGCTTCCCAGTTGCTCTTTACTGCATTCGGAAAAGGCCGAGAACCAGGTATAACTTAAGTATATAATAAAGTAGAGAGTGTTGCACGGCATTCACCATCGCTTTACATCGCAATATGTTTACATTTTTCAAAGTATGCGACGTCAATGAGCATATTGACCGTATATTGTCTTTCATACTCAGTCAGAAACGAGAATAGCCCATGCATTGGGCACATTGCTCTTACGGGCTATGAAGTAGAACTTGAACCAACCGCCCTAACATACTGTTAAAACGTATTTCTTTTCTTTTCAGAATCATCTTACCAGAGATTTCACAGTAGAAAGGAGAACGCCACACTCTGCCGCCAATCTCCACTGCCCACAGCTGCCCGGTCCTGGAGCTGACGCTGATTTCCTTCATGTTCGCTGTTTGTACGGAGTCCCAGGATGTACCCTCGGGATTATCCGAGGTTATACCTGTGGAAACGGAGGAAAATTGGGTACGTCATTGCCTTCGTCAGAAGGGTATGTTTTCGGTTTTGCCATGCTGGTGTGGCTGTGTTGTCTCCCTGTATGTATCCATCCACAACGTCATACGTCGACTAGTTGTGGATGGATTTTTTTTCATATTTGGTATGTGAGTAGTTATTGTGGAAACGAAGGTCAAGTTCAGAATGGTTCATCTGCTGGCTTTTCCAGCTGTATTGCAGTGGGCTTTTGATGCATTTGTTGATTATATGTGTTCAGCATAACTCAAAAAGCTGTCAATGGATCTTAATGATATTTGGTAGGTACATAGCGTTTGTGGAAACACAGTTCAAGTTCAAAAGTGGTTATCCTTCCATGTACAGTTATGTTCTCAAGAAGATGTGGAAGTTTATTAATGATATTTAGTGGACGACTATGGGTAGCCGATATGACGGCTAAGTTCCATAATGGGCCTTCTAGCAGATATCTAAAGAAAATGGGCTTCTATGGCGAACTCCTACGTGACCTTTGTTAGCAGAATAACTCATCTCAAGAACTGACGAAACTCACTATGTAAGTATTGTCAACAAAGAGAAAGGTCTAGTTCAAAATTGGCATTATAGCCTTTTACTACATCACCGCAGACGGCTTTTTCGGTCTTTGCAAGTTTTCTGTTAGCAGGATAACTCAAGATGCAGTGGAAGGATAATAAGAAATATTAGTAGGTAGTAGGTAGGCTCAATGAGCAGGAAGGTCAAGTTCTAAAATGTTCTTTCTGTCAAGAAAATGACGTGATTGAGCTTTGAGCCGCATCCTTCTCACTGCAGTGATACCGAGTCGAAGTGCAAAATAGAAACACTTTATTTTCACGAGGAATGGCATATGGTCCACTCAAACGTCGGTAGCTAAAAAATCTTTTAATAATTAAGTCTATACATCTGTTGTGCTTCAGAAATTTTCCAAGTGGGTTTATTATGATAATAGATGTGTAAAGGTAGCGTCTACCAGGCTTCGGGAGGCGGCTGGAAAGAGCTCCCTATTAAAGCAGACCAACTCCCCTGGCATGGTATCTCTTTTTGTCCGATTTCTACTCTTTCCGGCCGCCTCCCGAAGCCTGGCAGAGGCTAGTTTAAAGGTACCTTTTCTCACTATGGTATACCCATATGTGAAATGAGGATAACTGGCAACGATCCAGACGAAGTCTTTTCCTGAATGTATCTGGTCTATGTTGTGTCCACGCCAATCAGTTTCTACTGGGAATGTTTTGAAGTTGAAGAGTGAGCTGGTGATTTTGGAGTCGATATGAACTGCCTGCCAGGACGTACCTGCTGTTCCTGCGCCCCTGAAAACAGTACAGTTTCTCGGACAATTATCTAAGCGTCCTGTCGATGACCATTTCTTATTTATTTTAGCGTTTACATGCGGTAAAACATCATTTTATTTATTTATTTATTTTTGTTTGCCACAGTCAAATATATTCTGTCAAACACACACGCACACACACAAACATGTCAAAATTCCAACGTTTAGGTATACTTGAAGAAGGAAGCCCCAAAATTATGCTTAGTAGACGGTGTTGCAATGAACTTCGTCTACCTTAGCTTGATGCATCAGCAAGCCCCTCAAAATAAAGAAAACAGCCTAAGATTTTGCGGCAAACTTCCTACGCTTATGACGAAGGTGAGAATACAGACAACCACTTCCTGTCTATGGAGTTACTACAATCTCAATCATACAAAATGTGTGTTAACATTTACATTACTCACCTGAATGTTCCCTTGCGGTACATTACAGTGGAGTCGTCAGAGACTGCCCACACCCCAACACGTCCCACTGAGATGTACAGAAACTGTTCTGTTCCGACCACCTCCCATCCAGTCCCTGGGCCAAGTTTAAATGATCCATAGAGATTAATGCACGAACCAGAGGGTATAAACATTTTTTTTTAATGACTACCAAATATATCAATACTAAAATCGATAAACTGTTGCTATAAGAGAGAAAAAAATGGTTTGCATTTGCTTTTAATTTGTGCTAAATTCTTTTCACTGCTAAGATTGAATGTTGTTTTTACCCAATCGTACAAAGTCTGTGTGTTCTTGTACCCTGCAAGTAAATGTCTTCGAGCAACAATATTCTGATAACGCCTCGGATTTATATAAGTGCCTTTCATTTTCTCACCTTGTGGTGTTGACTGTGAAATACCCGTCCTCCGCAACGGTTTTCCGTCGATATCCAGTGCCCACACCTGATTGGTAGATGTACTGACGCTGATTTGTTTGATCTTATCACCGATTGTAAGCCAATCAGACGGGAGTACATCTGAAGCAGATGGCTCAACACTGCCTGGAGATTAGTAAGCAGAGTACCATTTCATTGCATATAAACTTTTAAATATAGCCTTTGTTCATATTTCATTCTAATGTTTTAGAAAGGTGCCTTGAGGTTGTTTAAATGTGCATTTGTTTCTGATTAAATACCAATAAATGATGTTGTGATTGCACGGATTAACGCTGCTAATCTTAGCTAAGAAAAGAAAACAAAGGAATTGAATTTCAATTATCAGGCATCCATTGCGATACATACGTCTTTAACATGATGAAAGGAAATGTATTGATCAACCGCAAATCTTAGAAATGGGGGAAACAATTACACAAAGTGAATTCAAAATGTTTGAAAGTTGACATTTTGAAATGCTTCCCGGTTCTCTAAATACCTTAAATACAAGGATATTTTTTTAATTGAACAATTATATAATATATACTTTATCCCCGGCCGTGATTTCGCCCCCCCCCCCCCAACGAAATCCACCATCGAACCCCAGAATAACGAAACAGTATGAGGGGGTTAAACGGGAAAATGGGAGAGCGTGGGGAGGGGTAAATCACTTGGGCACTAATATGTACCACATCGTTTATGCTATTGCTAATATTTGTCACATACTCGATAACGGATTATAGCACTTCATAAGGTTTGTTAAGAACATTTACGTACCTGATCTATCCTGCACTGTTTCATACTTTGCTGAAAAGCCGGTTCTGTAGATGGCAAAGTTTGTCACAAAGAAGACATGAAGGGTTTGTCCTACGGAGATGTAGGGTGTTGGGATACAAGTACCACAGTGGTGCATTTCATCCAGACTTAAAGGGTCTTCAATAATCATATAGTCAGAGGTGCACTCCTCGGTAACTTGGACATCAAAGTACGTAAACATAAGTCTAATGTGTTTTCCCACATCGATTGATATGATCCATTCCTGATACAAGTTGTTCCTGTACGAATGTGGGTAGTTCTTGGAATGAAATGAGCCAGCCTCTTCTAACAGATGGTGAATCCATTCAACTTTAAACCAGAAAACAGGTTCTCTTGTAAGTACAAGGCGATAACTCCTCAAGTACATGTCTGATAGCACATTGCAACGGTACTTTGTCATTATTTCTTTGTAATTTTATTTCTAAAAAAGCCCCAACCCATAGTCCGGTCGGGAAGTTTGAAAGAACGAGAAGTACGATACAAAAGACAACAAAACCCCAAAGCTTTACAATTTGCGTAAACGTTTCTCTTTTACGCACAGTCGGGCCCTGAAAATGTGGCCCAAGCATATGCATGTTACGTCCTGGGCATCGCAAAACCGCAGTAGTCCCTTCTACGTCCTTCCCATAGATTGATTAGAGAAATGTTTAGAAATCCTATTGGCCTACCATTTTCAGGCTTGTCCTTCGTATAGAAGCGAATCCAAAATCCCTCGTAAGTAAACACGTGGTTACTGTGAAAGTCAAGCTCTACGGTTGATGTCATTGACTCATGCACGCTCACGTCCACCCAGCCACAGTATACCTGGCTGAATTCTTTAAAAAAAAAGAAGTAGCAAAGGAGGTTGATTAAGGATATATAGCTAGTCTAGAAAGGCTCCTAAAAACCAAATTATGTGCAGTTCCGTAAAAAGGGCTGTCAAAACCCCCAATGAAGTGTTTTTCAGGAACAATTACTAGTATTCTTGAAGATTACCTATCGACCCAAGTATGCGTTTGGAGAAAAACATATTCATTCCACCCAGTATCTGCTTGGAGATCAGCAATCCATGTCAAACCCGTATCTGTTTCTGTTAATACATACATGTATAGTCATGTCTTCAAGTACCACAGTTATCAACCAAGGATTGATCATGAGGTGTTCATAAACAATCTTTCCTAGAACTGTTGTGGAACTCACTGTCACCAAGTATAGCAGAATCCTTTTTATTACATAGCTTTAAAATGTTTAGAGTTAGATGTTAGGTGTAACAATTGCAAGTCGTTCGTTGTAATGTAAGAACAAAAGAAAGAACAAAATAGTCATCATTAAACAAGTCAATACACATAAATAGAACAATCCGTTCTGAACAGAATAGGAAAACATGTTAAACAGTTTCCCTCATACAGATTTGCTTAAGAGACTCGCTATATATATGTCAGTGGTGGGTTGGCGTAATCTCCAAGCAGATCTTTTGGTGGGGGTAAGACAGTATCAAATTGGCCAGTCTGTAACCATTTCCCCACCCACCGTAAGAAACATTAGTGAACTTGTCTCACTTAATTAACCCTCCAACTATCGTATGGGGTCCAAACGGACCCCAGGCGTATATAAATATGTGCCATTTCGACATTTGTTGTCGAAAACAAAATTCTTATTATGAGTTTGTATATATGGCTTATGACTTCTCATTCGTTTTTACTGTGATTTGCTCATTATTGATTGAGATATCCCAGAAAGTTTATGCCCGGTCCAGCGGGGTCAAAACTGACCCCAGTATTTTTAACATTTGCTTGAGTTTGATGTTGCCCTTTGAATAACAGCAACAAGTTGAATCAGGAAACTCAAAGATTGTTACCCTAGACCTAGTTGGCTATGGACTTCGGGTCAAAGGTCATCAACATGGCTGCTTGGAGTCATCTTGTGTGATAGGCATTGATTAGGATAATGAGCAGAAATCATTCACACTAATCATGTCCAACTGTCCCTCATAGATTAATCAAACTATACATATATACTGTCAAACTTACCTTTGTTATAAAAGTAAACTATTCGAAGCCGGTCACTTCTACACCTTCCGTCATACTCGATGTAAAAATATAGGAATTCCAACACCACAACCGAAGAAGGATCTACCGAGATTGTCCAGCTGAGCTCAGAATACAAATGATTTTAAAGAAATATATTAATTTCAGGCAGTAAAACCGTACGGTATGTAGCTTCGAGAAAAATATCAAAGCAGCTTCCAATATTCCTTGCCATAACGATACATAGATAGAATTCGTGATCTGTATTTCACCGCATTTAGTCGAATTATTGTTATTGTTTAGTTAAATAACTTTGCCAGTGAATCGCAGTTTAAGGTAAGCTGTTTTGAATGGAGTACCTGCAATCCATGTTGTGTGGGTAACGATAAAGATAGGGGAAGGCTATTATTTCTCCTGGTGATCTGATTTCTCCCTCTTCCACGTACAAACGTTCTCTATCACACCTTTTCATATCTGTATGTAAATGGCGAGAGTGATACACTAGCATCAAACGTTGTTCAACTTTCATTGACAGTTTAAATTCGGCGTCGGCCAATTCAAAATCTTGATATCGCTTAGGAACTTTTAGGATTTGTCATTGAGTGCTGCACAACCCTGTAATTGGATAATCAACGCATCTATTCGGCATTTAGATCTGTATTGCACAAACAATATGGTCCATTAGTAAATTTCCGTACCATTTATTTTTCACAAGCCGACGTTTCGATGACCGTCTGTCATCTTCATCAGGGCAACGAAGACGGGGCCAAGGTAATAGACCGAGAGGACAACAGATGTATATCCGTTGGATTAAAGAGTCCGTATGGATTAGAAAATCCAATCAAGTCATGAACCGTAATGAGCGGGGGTATAAACATGTTTGGGATCAAATTCTTAAAATAACTGACATTTGTTTTTCTTATTGTTTGTAACTATTATGATTTCTAACAATTCGTGTGACAAGCCTTTTTTAAAAGGCTTGTCACACGAATTGTTAGAAATACTGAGCCATCGCAAATAGAAATAATTAAGATTATTTCTATTTGGGACTGCGATAGCTCAGTATTGTTAGTTAACAATTTTGTATATTATTTATAGGAACACTTTACATTTGAAACTGCATGTCTCTATGATGTAACAATGCCTAGTGCATGTATGTTTGGCACAATTGCACTACATTCGGAAATGCATTGTTAACAGTAAAAAACTGCACTGTGACCCACGTAACAGTATACTCTGCACTATGCACCAAGTAACATCTAGCGTCAGTGCACAGTAAACCAGTCAGAATTGCCCTGATGAACATGACAGACGGTCATCGAAACGTCGGCTCGTAAAAAATAAATGGTTGTGATCAAAGAACTTTGCTATTCATTCGTTTACCAACCTGATGAAATCATTTACGGATAAATTTCCATACCTTTACAGGTTGGAGGACGGCTGCTCCACGTCTTTCCAGGCATGCATGTAATTTCTCCAGGCCCTCTTAACCCGGTGTACAAGTGGTCGACAAATGCATTGCACTCAAACCACACAGTCGACCCACAGCCAAAACTGTCATAGCTCATGACGCCGTGTATCGGAACGTATGGTTCAGGACACTGCTCTTCCACCAAATAAAATGCTAGTGCCATAAAATTAGTTCACTTTTTGTCTCAAGCAGGTAGATATTAACTTCAATCACCTATAGTCAAATACCTGTATCAACGCCAAACTTTGACTGGGCGCGTGTTTTAACTGAGCAGCATTATTAGGCCAGCATAACTCAAGAAGCTATACAATGTAGGTGGCTTGTCGAATGGAATGTTGTATGAGCGTAGGTGAATGAGCGAAGGTTACCTATCAAAGGCCTTAAAGTGGCTTCTATGGCATTGTAGTATTGAACTGATGCAAAACAGTATCTATTTTTTTAACCCTATCTAGTCGGGGGGG